CGGATTCAACCCCCGAATCCGTCAACATTCATGCGTAAGACCGCTGTTCGTGACTGACTAACATTACTTTGCCGAAGCACTGCCGCAGCATGAAACGTATAACTGGACTACGATTCAAAATTTTAATAACTCGATCTACTCGCCGCTATAGATAGCTGGAGTCGAATTTTTTTAATTAAGTAGGCAATTTTTACTTCAGTCGCGCGACTGACTTGACGACCCCTAGATCCGCCCCTGTAAGGAAAGTCGGTGGTCGCATAGAAAATGGTTATGGAAAATGAGAAGAGTGCCATTGCCAATAGAGACAATGGCAGAACATTGCCGGAAGTTTTTACAACGCTTATTGATAAGGAATAAATAATGCTTTGTTGACGCTATAATACGCTATTATGACTCTTTTGTCCAGTGTCTTATTATGGCTCTTTTTTGACTCTATAATACGCTAATATGACTCTATTATGACTCTCTTGTCTTCTAGTCTAATTATTCAAAAACCTAATATTTTAGTTAGGTCATTAACATGTAAATAGTATTTAAGCGACTAATCATTCATGCCATTTTAATCCGAAAGCTTGATTTATATTTTAAGTTTTTTAAACTGTAAATAAAGGATTTTTACCAGTGCAACATACTACCACTACAATGAAACTTCCTGGTAACATAACCACACTAAATTATCAAGTCGTTATTTTGCAACATGCTAGATTGACTGCGATGGGATTTAGCACAACACACACGTTTACTTTTAAATTTCTTTCTTTCTTAGCTTTTCTTCCCCATACAGATTACAGAGTGCAAATGTGTTAACACTTGCTTCAATTATATTTAATGAATGAAAACTCTTTTTAAAATGTAATTATGTAAATTATTTCAACAATATTTTTATATTAATTGTTTATTTTTAAACTATTAATTGTTTATTTTTTCTTCTCTCTTAGATATTGTATTCTTCTTGTAAATTGGAAAACATTGTTTCTAAACTTTTGACACTATTATATTTTGAGCACAATATGTCCGTAGCCGGTCGGAGCATATACTGTAGGCAGCCCAATAGCTAGGTGTGTTAAATATTTGACTATAAAATATTCAAACTTTTAATAATACTGTTAAATATTGCGAAAATGTTTAGATATTAGTGACTTTAAGATACCCCGGTTTCGGTGTACGGGTACGAGTAGTGTCATCTTGTTTACTAGTTTTTACTGATGTCTGTAATTCAATCATACTTTTTCTGTTTTCTTGCAACAAGACAATGATATAATGGGAAAAATGTGCACCTTAATTACGAGTAAAGGTACAGACATCGACGAAAATATTGCTAACCAAAATCATGCTACCCGTACCCGTACACCGAAACCGGTGTATCTTAACCTCTCTAATACTTCATTTCAGTTCCGGTTGCCTTCTACCGGCGACGTCACTCACAACCTCGTACCCAGGGCCTTTGCAGCCTCTGAACCGCGCAAAGGCCCTGTGTACGAGGTCGCGTCACTCATAGACTGCATAGTGCATACTAATAGTCACGCATAGACTGCATACTAATACGTTTTAGTATAAAATCAGTGTTGAATCAAAGGATAATATCAAATGAAAATGAAATGATCAGTTTGCAGTTGTTTTTGCAAATCAGGCACCGTGCGAATTTTGCCATTTCACCCATTTGTCGTGCTTCTTTTGCGAAATCGAAAGAACGAATGTGTGCTCCCGCCCGATTTCCGGTTCTGAAGGCCCGATTCGCAGGCAAACAGTGCGCGCAAAGCAGACAGGTCATTTCCCATTGTTTAACTGCCTCACACTCTCCCCATGCACACTCGAGTAACCACAAAGACTCACAGATGTCGCTTCGCGACATCCGTCGGAGTCAAAAATGGCTTTCAGCGTTCTGATTGGCTCCCTTTGAGCAGTAACTCTGAGGCAGTAACTCTGAGGTAATAGTTACCGTTCAGACGGCTCTGCATGAGCAGTATAACTATTGCTTTAAAAAAAATGGCTGCCGAAAATCCACTTGCAAACAAATCATCCTCTGCAGATCATCGAAGAGAAAATTGAAGAAATTTTAATTTCTTTAATTTTAATGTAAAGTATGTGCTTTAAAAAGCGCATACTATTCCTCTAGCTAAAAGCAAAAGAAGCAACAATATTCAATAATCTATTTCCGAAAGACAAAAGCACCTTTTACATGCCTAAAACAATTTTATTTGGCAATTTAAAACGGGAAAATAACAGAATCAGGCGACAAAATTCCGACAGCTGGACTCGTTTGACTCAGAAGCGGAAGAGTTCAAGTAAATTATATTTGCAACGTAACGCAGACAGCTTTGGAGTATCGACTTTGTTTCACAGCAATTTCACGTTTACTAAAACAATATATTAGTCACCTCAGGCTCGGTGATCACAAGACTATATTCACTTCGCTGCTTCGCAGCTCGCCTTCGGTGATTAATTGTTGAATAGTTATTCCTAAGGTTGGTAACTAAATCAAACTAAACTTTGCTATACCTTAAAACTGTCGAAAAACACTCGAAATATTTTTAATAACAACTACCATAGTTTTACCACATTCCACATTGTGAAAAAAATGTATTCTTAAAACGAAAAGAATACGAAAGGTTTTCGCCCATTTGTTCAATGTTTCGATGGTACTATGCCTGATGCCTGCTGAAAACAGCATGTTCATAGTGACGAATACACACAATCTCATTGGCTGTCATTGACCGTTAAAATCAAACTCAGCTGTATAGATTGCCATATTAAAATTGAAGAGCCACTCAGATTGGAAGAAACCGCTCCATATATTTCAAAATGAGTACGATAAATGTTATAAAAGCATGATACAAGTGCGACAATGAGCACATGCAGTCATTACAATAATCACAAATGTTCTTTTTCTATAATCATAACTTTTTAACCGCATTATGTGACAGTTTTACTAAACATCATCTAATATTTCTTGTCTCCTAACCGAAATTTCCATGGCAACTGTATGGCATTCAACCTGAAAAATAAGTTAAAAGATGATAAGTTAAGGTTTTAGCAAGGTGAAAACAATGGTCCGATTTATACTGTCTAGTCCTATCCTGTAAAAATTAGAAATATGCCTCCCTCCTAAATAAGTTCCCCAAACAAGGAAATATAGCCCCCCGTATGTGTAGGGTGATCCTACTTTGGCGTGTTATCTTTCGTTAGCCAATAAAGTTCAGGCTTCTAGATGTCAAATGGCACCTTTTAATTTTCTCTCATATTGCAATAAAAAATAGCTAAATATATGATCCAATTCAAAGTGGATGGTCCAAATCGCATTTTCCCACCTTCAAAAATAGGCATTTCCGAATTACGGTCGAATACCCACAGACAATAGCCTGAGAACGAGGCTTCGTGCTAAATTGTAATGTTTCTATAGACGATTAGCACTATAAAGGCGGTTTTCGACTAGGCGAAATTTTTCGATCGAACCGAAATTTCTATTGTTCAAATTCAAAAGATTTCTGTTTAGTTCCATCTGAGTGCTTGTAAAGGCGGTTTTCCACTAGGCGAAATTTTTCGATCGAACCGAAATTTCTATTGTTCAAATTCAAAAGATTTCTGTTTAGTTCCATCTGAGTCATTGTCAGACAAAATAAAATTTCGATTCGGTCGAAAAATTTCGCCTAGTGGAAAACCGCCTTTAACAAGCACTCAGATGGAACTAAACAGAAATCTTTTGAATTTGAACAATAGAAATTTCCATTCGATCGAAAAATTTCGCCTAGTCACGAAAACCGCCTTTAGGCTTGACTTGGTGTTATTGTTCTTGACAATTTGAGCTTAATTCAGAAATGGTCAATTGAAAGAGGTGTTGATTTGACAGCTAAAAACCTGATCTTTATAAGAATAAAGATGTAAAACATGGAACATTCTGGTCTGTGATCTTCGTCACAAAGATATTGATCTGAATACCTTTAAATCAAACTACTTAAGACATATTACGAACACGCGCTATCCAAAATATACATTTGTGACGATCCACGTACATGGAAGTCCATATGTGTTAAATGTAGAAGGGCGAGGACCCTGGACGGTGTTTTAAGATGTTGCTAGTTGCATGGATGTTATGTTTTGTTGTATGTCATGTTTTGTTATGCGTATTGTCACTTGTCAGTTATTTATAAGATTATTTAATATTAATATTAACGTGATTTAGACAGTGGCGGAAATCTTGGTGGGGCAGGGGGCGCCCCCCCCCCCCCACCTTCACGGAAAATTGACGAATTTTCGGAAATTTTGACCTAAAAGACGGCTAAAAACAGTCTTTTCGAGTTTAAATAGGGGAGGGGGGGGGGTACGTCGGAAATTTGAAAGTTTTGTCGGAAATTTCGTTGGCTTTGCCCCCCCCCCGGAAAAAGTGAATTTCCGCCACTGGATTTAGATGTAATTATTAAGGACTCGCCGTAATTGAGGACACTGTGGCGAGTATCCTGGCACTACGTACATTGTTATAATATAAATTTAGTAGTGGTCAAACAGTATTAAATCATTAAATCATTAAATCAAAGAAAATCTTTAAACTTAATACTTATCTATCCACCCATCCATCTATTTATTTAAAACTTGATTTATGACATTTGGCACGAGACAAAGGTTAGCCACACATACATATATATACTAAAAATTGGAGTTTATTAACGTATAGCAATTAATAGGATAGCACTTAACTCAGGCTCACAAAGTTACCTGCCAAGGGCTAAAAGTTGATGAAAATCTAACGTGGAAACAGCACGTTGAAACCATTAAAAATTAAATAATAACGAATTCATACGTGTTATGATTAACATTTACAACACAATCCTTCTCATTAACATTTACAACACAATCCTAAAACCACACTATGATTACTGTAGTATTGTATGGAACAGTATTGATAAGACGCTGGCAGACCAATTACAAACAGGGCGCTTATATATATAAGCGCCCTGATTACAAAAGTTGCAGAAGCGCGCGACGTTTAAGCGCCTTCCTGAGTTATGCGCCTCATGTCTGAGTTAAGGTGGCCATCTTTAGCTCAAAACCGAAAATTTCAGATGATAATGATGCACAAAATTGCTATGAATGGATGTGCACTATCATATTTATCAGAAATGTTTGAGAAGCAGTTTGGATCAATTATACTTATAACTTAAGGTCATCTGATCGAAGTATTCAGATACCATGTAAAAGTTAGAACTGAATGTTGTAAAGAAGTTTTGCAGCATCTGTGGATCTTTACTTTGGAACAGACACTTCTTACCAACATGAACTTAAAGAGGAGAAGGCAAAAATAGAAACCCATAACTTCTGAATTGACAACCTATATGAATTCTACTTTTTAATTACGGTAAAAATGACATGTAAAATTCTGTTATTTAAAATAACAAAAATACAAAAAAACAAAAAAACAAACGCGTGTAAATATAGTTTTTTGTTATAACGTACCAGGTTTTATGGGGTGGTGGTTTGGTGTGGGTGTTTCTTTTTTGCTCGGACATTGCTCAAAATCATTCTTTCGATAGACGAGAATATCATCTCTACTAGTTAAAATTCGGTGTTTCGAGGCATAAAACAATTGACCGCGGACGACGCTATACCATGCACCTGCCCACGCGTCAGGAATTTCCAAGTTGCCGAAAAGATATATAATCTAACATATGCAATGACTTTCATCACTGATTATGCCATATAATTATCTTCCCGAGACTGAGACTTCGAATGGATTTTGCCAAACAATTGATAAGGGACCAGCAGGGCCGTGCACAGTGTGTGTGTGTGTGTGGGGGGGGGGGGCAGGGAGCAACCAGCGGCGGCGGAACAGATTTCGTTCTGGGGGGGCTAAATTTTTTCGGTGAACTCCCCCCCAAAATTTGCAAATTTGTCCCCTTATACCTAAATTTTCAAAAAATAACCTAAATTTTTCCCTAATTATCAAAATTTTTTCCAAAAATTCAAATTTTCTGGGGGGGCTAAGCCCCCCAACTTTTACTTCGGGGGGGGGGGGGCTTTAGCCCCCTAGCCCCCTGTTCCGCCGCCCCTGGGAGCAACTGCCCCCTAGAGAAAACTATATTTTCGATTTTTAGAATGTCATTATTAATTACTAAGTTTACTACTTGGATATTTGGGACTTTTTTCGGCATATAAGCCTCACTGCCCTCCTGGTGAAAAAATCCTGTGTACAGCCGTGGGGGCTGGGTTGTATGAAAAAGTAGGGTTGTCCAGCAAGGTAAACAAGAATCTCTAGCTCACAGCAGTGCGGTTCAACTCCTGTAAAAATGCGATATATACTGTATGATATCGCTTACCCTGAGTGAGTTTACAATTTCCCCACTTCTTATCTTTATCGTAATTGTTTGTGGTTGCACACCAAAATTTATATCCATTGTTCACGGTTGTACATGATGGGTACCATTTCTTTTTATAATAGAACGGAAAAACACAACAATCCCCTGATGTAGTTTTCACTGCGCAGTTGGTTCCTGGAAAAATCAGAATTTCTCATTAATAACAATCCTTACTACTTAAATATAAATCTCGTTGCGATAGCGGAGATTATTCTATTGTTTTGATTGATCATTGACGTTTTAATTTTTTTTATAAAAACCGTTTTGTCTTAAGAAATGAAATATTAGTATTTGTTGCCTTCATTTTTCGGTCTTGATTAGGAAAAGTATATAGATTTATTTAATGGTAGGGTGGCATTCTACATACATACTATCAGAGAGAGGCTGCCTGGATGGAAGCATGAATGCATATCATATTATTTTTAACAGTTGTTCCATATATTTTTCAGCAACATTAATTTTGAAAACTAATATAAATTCATCAATAATGCAAGGTTGTTATCAAATGCTTGCCTAGGACACGACGATTAACATAGAAATGAGAGAGAAATTAAAGAAGGGTATATATAACATTTCGAAAACTAATTAAGATTCTCTGCAACAGGCAACGCTAGTTGAAAGATGATCATACAGTAATTTTTCGTTTCTATTCCACGATACAATATCACAACGTCTTGTGAATTTGTTTCATGGGGCTTGATGTACGAAATATATATTTGCCTTGACCAACTATACAATGTCGCCGTTTCTCCGCAAGACATCAGCGCAAATTTTGAATGCCAAAATTCCGAAATCTTACTTAAGACATTACCCTGTATGCCTTTTGGAAAGTATAATCACGTAACTGCTGTATAAATTGGATTGTGATCACGCGACGCGGACCTCTTCGTTCAAGTCTCTTATTGATAATAGTTGAATGGCCGGGCAGTTGGGATGCATGTCTATAGGTTTCACGAAATAGGACGGTGCAGCACATAGAATTCAACGCTATGATGAAAGACTACTGAGCGGGTTAAATAGTTCGCTATATGTATTGACATTGTGTTTGGTGGCAAATAGTTGTATAATGCATGAAACATTCAGCATTTTTTGCTTATGTATAAATGTCACGTGTAATAGTAAACCACCTTGTGCACCACCATGCGAATACTTAACTGAAAACCACCTATTGGTGTATTTGATGAAAAGTTATTTAACCATGCACGTGAAGCAACAGTCGCGTATTATTGTTTGAAAACAAAGAATATTATTATATATCAATAGTCAAAGTCGCATTTTTCTATTGTTTTATTGGTTGAGAGCATATCACGTGAGAGTAACGAAATTAGGCTGTCTCCCTCGCAACAGCGCGAGAGGGAGATAATACGTTATCGACCGGCGAATAACAAAAAAAATCACGTGCGCCATCACGTGAAGATGCGACCTTTGGACATGCCTAGTACGTAGTGTTTAATATAACTATTTAACAATAAAATATTTCATGTATTTACGCTCATTCCTATCACTTTCCTTACTATCTCAAAATGTTGAGAGAATATGGATTTAATGCGTTAAGTGTTAGGATTAAAAGTTTGGATTAAGCTTATAGATTAGGGTCAGGGTTGAATTTAAGTTGGGGTCTCAAATATAGAAATTAATTTGTGCATGCATGTCAGGGCAACAGTACACTGTTTTTAGCTATTTACCTTTCCATGCGTTGAGATCCATGCCAGGTATTCCATCACACATTACTCGACGAAGTTTTCTTGAACCTGCCAGAAAAGCATTTGGTTGCACGGAAACGATGTTTTTCAAATTATCACACATTATTTTCGACAACGTTGCTTTCTTAATTTCCTTCAACTGTTGATCTGAAAATACTCCCTTGTTCATGTAGAAAAACCTGTCTCCATCTCTTGTTCTTTTCATTTGCTCCCGTATAATACATCCAAATGTTGCTCCAACAACCCCACCATTTGCTGGGGCTTCTGCTAAACCTGCCACCCATAAATCTGCCAAATTTGGATCATTGTTATACAATTGAGATAACAGCTTTCTGCTAGCGGGGCTCTGAATTTCCTTTGTTGTATTAAAGAATGACTTTGCATTTTTCAAACCACAGCACCGTCTAAATGCATTATAACCAGGCAAGCCGTGATCTCTGCTACGCTGGATATTTAACGCAGCCAGGTTGAGGCCAGGACAACGCGGACGTTCAAACAAATGATTTAATATTCCGTCTGCAATTTTACGGTCGACACATTGCGACTCGTTTCCAAGTAGGCCCAGCAACAATTCATCTATGCCATGTTCCTTTATAAACGTGTTGTTGAAGAATAGTTGTCGTAAAAGCAAAGGTTTGCCAGTAGGATTAAATCCCTTATCCAATCTATCAAATGTTGGTCTTATCAAACTGTGTCCAAATCTAAAAGCAGCTGTAGCAAAAGAATTAAGAATGCCAGGGTTGATGGTTGAATCATATCCTTTATATTTCGGGAGAGTGGGGCCAATAATGATTGGTAGAAAATCTTCATATGTGAGTTTTTGTAAGACAGCACCAACTATTTTTTTTGTTTCCTGGTAGATTTTATCTCCGTCCCAGTGTGAATTGAGTTTTCCCAAAGTATGAGCAATTCTGTTGTGTTCTCGCACAAACAAGGAATGCATGCATGCGAGGACCACCTGTTCACTAGATCGAACATCACCAGCTAGGAAACATCCACCTAACATGACACACAAGTTTGCAGGGGCCATAAGTTTACCGTTATCCTGGGGAAGAAAATCTCCATCAACCCCATTTTCTGTCTTTAGCAAGCCTTTTTTACCTAGAAGAAATATAAAGATATATATAAGGGGGTCAGCATCGGCCAAGGTGTATAGATGTTTTACTTAGCTTGCGGTTTGAAAAAAATGAAAAAAATTTGATGTAAAAACATGTCACCGCGCATTTCGCTAGGAGAATTAGTAACTACTGGAGCGACTCGACACTATTTTGAATGGTGAATATTAAAAATACTACTGATTAAGGGCCTCTGAGCAAGGATGACAAAGTGGTGAAGTTGAAGTACCTCAATAAATTTTACATCTTCTTGGCGTAAAGTAAACCAGGTTTATTTTATTTTTATCTTTATTTATATATATATATATATATATATATATATATATAGATAAAGATAAAGATAAAATAAATCTGGTTTACTTCATAAGATTTATTTATTTATTTAAGATTTATGAAGTAAACCAGGTTTATTTTATATTTATCTTTATTAGCTCTATACTTTGGTATATCGAGCACTCTACTCATATATGATTCTAAATACAATACATATTTGGTATATATATATATATATATATATATATATATATATATATATATATATATATATATATATATATATATATATATATATATATATA